GATCCACAGAGGTGATCAGGTCTTTAGTTGTCCTGAGGTCCAGCCTGGTCCACAGAGGTGATCACGTCTTCTCAGCTGTAGCTCCTAATCTGTGGAACCAGCTGCTCCTTCATATCAGACTTCAACTCTTGGTGTTTTAAAGTCTAATCCTAAACCTCCTTCATACTCACTATCTTTAAACTGCACAAGGGTTTACATCTTTGCATATTTTAATAGTTTTATTATGTGCCATCATATTTGTCATTGTTTTAATTTTTGTTTGTTACGGTCTCTTGTGTTTGATATGATCTTTTCCTGTTTACAGCACTTTGGCCAACAGCAGTTTGTGAATGTGCTGAATAAACAAATATGACTTGACTTGATTTGAGCTGTGTTTGTCGTGTTTTCCAGGCCTGGTCTGTGTGGTGAAGCCAGAGGGCGTCCCTCAGCTCTGTCAGACAGATGAGATCGGTGAATTCTGCGTCTGCTCCATCTCCACAGGGATGTCCTACTACGGCCTGACGGGCATGACCAAGAACACCTTTGAGGTAACCTGCGCAGAAGCTGCTGTGGCTCATTAGAGTTTGATTGCTCCTTTATGCAGTCACATGCTAAAGTGTCCATGGGCAAGACACTGAACTTAGGATTGTCTCTGATCAGCATCACATCGGTTTAGCTTTGTAGAGTGGTTTTATGGCCCTTATGCATTGTAAGGCCTGGCCTGGACTGGCCCGCCCCAGGTTTTGAGTGTTGGCATTGGGCAGTTTCAGACTGGGCATTGGGGTTCCATTCAGACCAGACTGGTGCTACAGGTTTGACGTCAGCACACTTCTGGCCCTTGATTGGCTCGCTGGCCTGGTGGATCACTTCACAGATTCTGTTTCCTTCAGCTACTTGCTTCTGGCTGGTCGTGTGATGGAGAGAGCTTCTATTTTTCTTTAGAAAGAAATGGCAACTCAAAAGATAGCACCAGTGCTCTGGAAAAACAATGAGGTGTAGGTTTGGCTGAACTGAGATCCACACACCCAGGCAGCACTCTGCTGAAACAAACAAAACCATAGTCGTTCCAGCCCCAGTCTTCCCCGGACAGACCTGGCTTTACGATGCAAGGGGTGTTAGAGTGCTGTATGAGTGTGTGTTTGTGGATGGGTGTGCGCACACAGACTGTGTTGTAAAGCACATTGAGTATCCTGGTTGGCTAGCCAGTGGTTCCCAACCCTGGTCATCGAGGTCCACTGTCTATAGGTTTCAGTTGTTTCTGACATGATCTGCTTGTTAAGGAGTTGAACCCACATGCAGGAAGGCAACGGAGACTTCAAGTAAAATAAGTAACTATAATTTATTTTAAATAAACAACAAAAAACACTGACAGGGCAGCAAAACTTACTTACAAGAAGGAGAGGGCACATAGAACAGACATAGATCACGAAACTGTGGAAGGTTAATGCTCAGATACCAGAGAAGAGAACAGACACAGACTTTCAACAGTCTCTATTCCTTCTGCTTGTTTAGTTTAACTAATAAACGCGTGCGTGTGTGTGTGTGTGTGTGTGGGGGTGGGGGGTTTACAGACAAAGGTACAAAGTTCTTTACCATTTGTGCACAGACCAACAATCCAGGCACATTGGAATTGTTGTGCAGGACTCTCTCAGTCAAAGTCAAAACACTGAAACAACACTGAATAAATGAAATAAAAATAAGAACAAGGTGGTTTATACCTGCACTGTACAGAAAGTAGGTAATATCTAACCCTTCCCATGTCACATGACAACTGAAGTAGTGTAGGGTTATTATTGCACCTGATCAGTAGTTTTGTTTTGCCATCAGTCTGACTGTGGCAGGATAATATCTATTAAAAACCTTGTACTATGTGTGATGTTATCCACTCTACTGTGTCTCAGGTTATGTGAACATTTGTTGTGTCTGATCAGAGAGTGAGCTGGATGGTGAGTCCTTGATGGTACCTGCTGCTCTTTTCGACAGCGCAGTACATCGAGTCCATGGAAGGAAGTTTAGTCCCTGTGATCCTCTCCACAGTACATATGGCTCTTTGCAGTGCCTTCCTTTCTTCTTGTGTGGTGTTCCCATACCAGACGGTGATGCCTGTGGTTAAGATACTCTCTCAGTCATCTATAAGCCTGGGTGAGAGGGAGCTGGTTCAGACCCACTTTCCTGAGCAGCCTGATGAAGTAAAGCCTTTGCTGGGCATTTTTCACTGTGGCTGTGGTGTTGAGAGACCAGCTCAGGTCCGATGTAACCTGCAGTCCCAAGAATCTCTGGCTGTCAGCCCTCCCTACTTCACTTCCTTTAATTATGAGGGGCTGTAATGAGGGAGGGTTCTTCCTGACGTATGATTTCTTTGGTCTTGTCTGTATTGAGGATGAGGTCGTTCTTCTCTCCATATGTTATAATGTTGTTTACCAGAGTCGTGTACGGTGGCCATGAGGTGTAAATGAATCACATTTCAACAAACAGAATTGTCTTAAGCCGAAGCGGAAGTGTCCGGAATCACATTTGAAAAAACAGAATTATATTTCGTAAAACAAAGGTACATTTTAAAAAAAAAAGTAATAAATAAACGTAACTAATAAATAACTTAAGAAAGTTAAAAAAAAAAATTAAAAAAACACTAAAAACCCCACCACTTACGAACAAAGTCCATGCTCAATAATTCAGGTATTAGCACCAACATAACTGGTCTGTTCCACTTTGGAGTAAGCTGTTTTGGGGAAGAATCAGTTTTCTGCTGTGCTCCCTTGACTGATGAAGCCTTCTGGATGGAAGGTGAAACGTTTCAGCACAAAAAAAAAGAAACTGTCCAGATGACCTGACTAAAAATTGTTGGACCCACCACTTACGGTTTTGCTTAATGTACTTCTGTTTTTTCAAATGTTGTTCATTGACACCTCACGGCCACTATAGTGGTGCACCCTGACTTGTTTCCCTCCTGGATTAGCCCCAGTATAGTGGTGTCATCAGCATATTTAATAATGACGGTGTTGTGCTGGGTGGAGACACAGTCATAAGTGTACAGGGTAAAGAGTTTAGGGCTGAGTCAACAGCCCTGCAGGGATCCTGTGCTGACTGTGAGTTCAGCAGACACCCATCCTCCCATTCTCACCTGTGCTTTATCTATGAGGAAGTCCAGGATCTCGTTGAAGGTGGGGGTCAGGACGCTGAGGTCTGTCAGCTTCTCTGTCAGTTTTCCCGGGCGGATGGTGTTGAAACGCAAACTGTAGTCCAGGAAGAGCATTCTGTCATGTGTTCTGCTTCTTTCCAGATGTTGCAGTGTGTGGTGTAAGGCTATTGCTACCACATCATCCACTGATCGATTAGGGCGGTAGGCAAACTGGAAGGATCAGACGTATAAACAATTGCCAAGTCTTTGTGCACTGTGGTGACGACGGGAGCAGCCGAAAGACACACACAGTTAATCAATAATCTTCAAGAGTCTCCATTTCTTTACCTTCATCTGAACATTCAAACCCTCATCTTTATCTTTTTATTTTAGCTTTAGAATTATGTAAGGACATGTTTTCTTCTATATCAGGGGTCTGCAACCTTTACGACCAAAAGAGCCGTTTCTGCCCGTTTGTCATTAAATTAAACATGTCCAGAGCCACAATACCTGCTACAACTGGGATTCTCAACTGGTGGCCCACACACCGCTTTAAGTTTGTTGGAGGACATTTTTCTGGCCAGTAGGAGTTACTTTATAAACTAAAAATATCTAATGATTTTTAACATTTATTGATAGTTTTTGCCCAGTTTTTATAAACTGAAATGATAAACTATGCAGGCCTATGTGATTTTTCTCAACTGTAGAAAAATTAAATATCCTACTTAGAAGAAATAAAGCGTAAAGTGAAAGTGAGTATGTTTTACTCCTTGTAATGTTTCTAGTATTCACTTATTTGCCATATCAACTACAGGAAAACTGCTAAAACTATCCCTTGCAGTTGTTGTTATAACAACCAATAAAATTCAGTTTTATTTTAGTTTTGGTCAAAGCTTGAAAGAGCCGCTGCAGAGGGACCAAAGATCCACATGTGGCTCCAGAGCCGCATGTTGCAGACCCCTGATCTATATAATGAAAAATGCCACGCTGTAAACAAAAGGGCAAAAAGAATCAGAATTAAATATAAAGGTTGTTTTTTATGTTAAATTTACTTAATTAAAATTGGTGTTTGAAGTTGTGTAGCTGACAAAGTAAATTCACAACCAGAGCATCCTTCCATCAGAGACACTTAAACAGAACCAGCTGCTGCATTAAACTCTTGGTTTGGGTCCAAAGTTAAAAATACTCTAGTCAGACTTTGAGGTCTGGATCTGACTACTGGTAGTTGCTATAGTGACCGTGCAGCTGAATGGCAGGGTTTTTTTGTTGTTGTTTGCAGGTTTACCCAGTGAGCTCCAGCGGCGGTCTAATCAGCGAGTACGCCTTTGTGCGGACTGGCCTGCTGGGCTTCATTGGACCCGGCGGACTCGTTTTTATCACGGGGAAGATGGACGGGCTCATCATGGTGAGCGGGCGAAGACACAATGCTGATGACATCGTTGCCACGGCGCTGGCGGTGGAGCCGATGAAGTTTGTCTACAGAGGCAGGTGAGTTTGGATCATTCGGGAAAACTCGTTGACCTGCGACGTGTTGGACGAGCACCAGTCAGACCACAGCGATGGTGAACGTTGGTTACTCTGACAGAATCTGAAATGCAGCCAGCCGTCCAAGAAATTCACTGCCACTTTGATAAATGAGCCGAACACCACACATTATAAATCTAATAAAGTAGAGATCCAGGCGTCAGATCAGAGTGAAGCCTAGCTGTGTCCACAACCAACGAGAAGCCAATTTGTCCTGCACCTGACAAGCTCCGGTGGTGTTTTCTATTGTGTGCCGACTTCCATCTTGGAGTATAATAAAACCACCACTATTCTTCTGCACAACGTAACTTCTACCCACTTGAATATTCTGCACCAGTGACATTAAGGTTACTGCATTCCCCGTTCAGTTCCAGTCCAGATAAACACTTTCACTTTTCTTATCCCTCGGTGATCATCAGGGGACATCAGCTTATCTCTTGTTCATTTCTGTTCTAGCTTCTGTTGCAGCAGATGTTGAGGTGCCATTGTTTACTCACACAGAGCTTTAATAGCATCAGTTATTTGCTTTAATGTGTGATACTCTGTGCATCATTTAAGTTCAGTTTTTATAAACTATTGAAATGATTGTTGCCCATTGTTGTTATTTTTAACATGTGGACACTGGACATATGTCACGAGTTCTAGAATTGCGCCGCTCCAGGTGGCTGCATGTTGGAGCAGCTCTGTTAATTTCATTCTGAGATTTTGCTTTTGGAAACTCTAATTCCTCTTTTTCTGGATGTAGATCACATTTATTGGATGATTGTTTCCTCTGAATGTCCAGAGGACCAGATTTAACTTTTTTAGATTTTTCTACCTGGATTATTGAGCATGCATCAGGATATTGTGTCCTCTGGAATCAGATGCTGTGCAGCTGGAAGGATTTTTACTGAAACTTTTTTTAGTGTTGGACATTTGTTATGATGCGTAACCATGGCAACAAGGCAGTTTTCTACAACCAACCAGCTGATTAACATCTCAAAAGCTCAAATAATAACCCAACTACAGCCCCAAATCTCAAATGAGTTGAAAAGGATGTTATGTGGATGCATTCTCATCTACCTGCCAGCTGTGCTCGAGTGCCTGACCACTGAGATCCTGGAACTAGCAGGAAACACGGCTCATGACAGCGGAAGGACAGGATCGTCCCTCGGCACCTACAGTTGGCTGTCCGCAGCGACGAGGAGCTCGGCAGACTGCTGGGAGGAGTGACCATTGCTCTGGGAGGAGTTCTGTTCTGCATTTGGACGGTCCTGCAGCCCGGGGGAACCGAGAGGCCAGCTGAGTCTGTGAGATGGACCTTTACAAGAGATCCTTCCTGCCTACAGCCATCAGCATCTATAACATCTCTTAATGAAATGAGGATAACGAGTTACAACAACAAATAATTTCCCTTTGGGATTAATAAAGTATTTTTGAATATACTGGGTTACTTACTTTAGTTACTTACTTTAGTTTAAACTCTGCTTTCAAAACAATAATACCTGTTTTGTAGAAAGGCAAAGGAGCAGTTTGTTAAAGGCATCTTTAAGAAGTCTGAAAATCACTAAAATGAGCATTAGCATTAGCATTAGCTTGCTGTTTGCTCAGGCTGAAACACATTGTTTCCACTGTTTCCACCAACGTAGTTTACAACTTAGGTACACTACGTTTTACTGTATTACAAGAAATATTTTTAGAGCACTAACTAGTTGATAAAAAATTACAGGTAAATCTTGGAACATTACCGTACTTTTCACTGTATACGTTTTTGCATGAATAAGCATGACCTGTGACTTAAACAGCGAAGCAACCTATTTATGTTTGTTTCACATATTTATAACCATTTTTTTGGCTGAGATTTGACGATTTCATTCATTCTGACATGGAAAATATTGAACATTACAATTTTCAGCCGCTAGAGGTCCTCGAGTAATATGGCAAGCCAAGTGACTCATTAATAGGTAAAAGTGGCTATTATTGAGACACTTGGCTTGCCATAGGGCCAGCTTCATCTCGCTCTGGAACTCCTGGAGCAAACATGAAATCAGCTGCATTTCGCCACGTCACCCAGGAGAAATGCAGCTGATTTGACCATTAAAGTTCATTTATTAAGGGAAAGTTCAACTGAGACACACCTTTACTATAATTTTGAGCAAACAAATCATTGTTTTTAAGTGTTAATCTTGTTAAATTCCTGTTAAAGTCCTCCCATGCACGCTCCCGTGACCGCCTATTGGCAGCCAATCAGTTATTGTGGCATATTTGAGTTGATTTAGTTTTACTTTACAGCTCAGTGATTTGTTGTGTTGAAGTGATCTATGACATTAGTCAATTGTTTGTATATCTGCAGGGTAGTTTAATGAAATGCAACAATATACATTTGTTATGATGTTTAATTAAAACTAACAGCTGCTCAACACATTATGTAAACAAACATTTAAAATCTTGTTTTTCTGCCACTGTTTAAAATATATTTATCATGGCCTTTATTTGTATTATTAATTATCACAATATAATTTGCTTTTTGGCTTTTTGTTTTGGCAACAGAACTCAGTTTTTGCACCTTTTTCTGCCAGCGTCTCTTTTTTACAGGACTAATGTAGTAAATTTCAGTAAATTCTTCCCGGGGACGATGAGATGAAAACGTCTCTGGGTTGCTCTGAACATGTTGTCCTGTCTGCCGCGGCAGGATAGCGGTGTTTTCTGTGACCGTGCTGAGAGATGAGAGGATCGTGGTGGTGGCCGAGCAGAGACCGGACGCCACCGAGGAGGACAGCTTCCAGTGGATGAGTCGCGTCCTGCAGGTCGGTTCCCATCACATGATGATCAGATGCATCATTTGATCACACGGCTCATTAAAACGGATTTTCTTGTCATTCCGTTCAGCTTTTGAATCATTATTTCACTAAATATTATAAAACCTGTACTCAAGCGGTTGCCATAGTAACAGTGAAGCTTTCACTGTTGCCTCTTTATTAATTGCAGATGATGTGAGGGTTTATTATCTTGGTTGCCGATGTCTTTTCCTCTGTTTAGTTTTTGTTGATGGGAAAATAATCTAAAGAGTAAAATTCCATCCATCCATTATCTTTTACCCACTTCTTCCATTTTGGGTCACGGGGGTCACTGGTGTCCATGTCCTTCAATCACTGTGCGAGGGGCAGGGGACACCCTGGACGGGTCTCCAGTCCATCACAGGGACACATAGAGACAAACAACCATTCACTCTCTCACTCACCTAGGGACAATTTAGAGTTACCAATCAGCCTAGCATGCATGTTTTTAGTATGTGGGAGGAAACCGGAGTACCTGGAGAAAACCCACGCATGCACGGAGAGAACATGCAAACTCCACCTAGAAAGGTCCCCAGCCAGGGTTCGATCAGGCGACCTTTTCGAGGGGAACATATCTATATTTAAATGATAAATTATTGTTTTTGCACAATCTGTAATATATGGTTGAATCAAAAACAAGTAAGACTAAGTCGTCCCCCCCCCCAGGCAATAGACAGTATCCACGGAGTCGGCATTTTCTGCCTGGCTCTGGTTCCAGCCAACACCCTTCCTAAGACTCCTCTGGGGGGCATCCATCTGTCAGAGATCAAACAGCTGTACCTAGAGGGGGGGCTGCACCCATGCAACGTTCTGATGTGCCCCCACACCTGCGTCACCAACCTGCCCAAACCACGGCAGAAGCAACCAGGTGAGCGGCGCAGCTAGCGGAACTCGTTGGTGCATCAGACACGTCACGGTGCTGATCCGGTTTGTGCACGTGTGCCGCAGAGATCGGACCTGCCTCTGTGATGGTGGGGAACCTGGTGTCAGGGAAGAGGATCGCTCAGGCCAGCGGCAGAGACCTGGGGCAGACAGACGACAACGACCAGGTGAGCACCCATCCAAGCTCAGTGCAACACACCTGATTACCTCAACAGCTTGTCACCACGTTCATCTTTATCTACTCAGAGTTCCCCTCAAAACCCGTAAGATCACAGATTCAGTTTGTGAATAACATCTTGGAGCTTCAAACCTCAGTGTGAACATTAAAGGAGGAAACAACGCTCGGAACATACAGTACTTATTTATAACAGAAACTGCCGTACAAATACACAAACGGCTACAGTTCGGTCAGTTGTATTGAGATAAAGTTTGAGGTTGTGTCACGAGACGGATCCCCATCACAAAAGTTGAGCACAGATGCTCAGATCTTTGTTTAAAAGTTGGTGATGTTCATTCTGTTTGAGAAGTTATGAATCTTTTTATTATATTACGGCTGAGAACATCTTTCTGTAATACGTGCACTAAACGTTTTCTTGTCTCAGCCTGAAGGCAGCTCGCTGACTCGCAGAGCCTCGCTGGTGTTGACGCCAGGAGAACATGCCCAAAACTTTTATCTCCAGCTGGAGGTCGACTAGCTGACGCCCATGGATCATGTGACTGCAGCTGGCTGTGAGGGAACACCTGCTGGATAAAAGTCTGCAGCAAACTCTGTTCGAGGCTCATTCAGTGACACGATCCACATCTATGATGTGTGGAATGAGTTCTCACAAGTAAAACCAGTTTAAAATCCTCTCGTGTCCTCAGAGTGGCATCATCTGATTAAGAAGACGATGAAAGGATATTTATTTATCCAACACATTCCTCCGAGGAATGCTACTTTGTGTCTGAAACACTTTGACCTGCATCTTCTTTTTTTAAATGAAAGGAGATAAAAATAAAACCGATCTTCTCCAGAAAATCAAATTTACGTGCTGTGATTTATTTTATTTTTTGACAAAGAAATTGGACAAAGAATTGAAACCAGTTCATAAGTGAAAGATGCTATGCTTGAAGGTCTGCCTGTCTGACAGATTGTTGTTGTTGCCGCTCCTTATTGTGTCCTCCGAGGCTAGTTTGAAGGGCTAGTTTTACGCTACTTGCTTCCAAAGCCTGGTTATTGATTGAAGCACTTTATTGTAGTGGAGCGAAGGCGGCGAGTCAGCAGGAAAAACAAATGCTGCTGGTGAGTGAGCACACACTGACACGGGCTTCACCAGAAGCCTGGAACTGAAAATGTCGTGCAGTTCTCTCAGATAATCATAAAATAATTGTCTGTTTTCAGCTTTAGTTTTATGTTAAATGCAGATGTTAGAGGAGAGGTTCTGTTCTGCTGTCGATTTACGATGAACCTTTGATAAATAAGAATCACCACTTCAGACCTCGGCTCAGGAACAGAATCAAATCTGTTCACGTGTCGTCAGAGATGTGGTTTAAAAATGTTTGGTTAAAATAAACGTTCTCATACCAGGTTTTATCTGTTTCTGTCTTGTACAGTTTTTGTTTTTGTCAGAAATTCTGCAGTGGAGAGCTCAGACAACACCAGACCACGTCCTCTACACGCTCCTCAGCTCTCGGGTAACAAACCTTTTAATTGCGTCATTTTCCATATTTTACTAAATGGTGCCTCAGCTAGTTTATAAAAACAAGGGAGCTCAAAATGTTGTCTACATTCTGAATATTTGCAGAATTAAAGTAACATAAATGTGCTTTGATAACTAAATTTATACATAAATATCACCACAAAATGTGTTTTCTAACACAACAAATACCTTAAATTGGTTTGTTTGTAGATTTGAAGAAGTAACAAGCAGCAACTTTTATTTATTGTTTAAACGTCCATCACTTCTCCTTCCATCCTCTAGGGGGCGGTGTCCAACTCACTCACCTGTCTGCAGCTGCATAAGAGGGCAGAGAGAGTGGCGGCTCTGCTGATGGAGAGAGGAGGTCTGCAGGAAGGAGACCATGTCGCTCTGGTCTACCCACCAGGTCACAAATGATGCTCCAGTGAAATCTTTACCAGTGTTGTGCAAAAGTACTAATACAGCTCTCAGCTGTTTATGGTTTACTTCCAAAGAGCCAGGCTTTTTATGTAACTTTTATGGGTAGACGAAATGTGCCCCAAGTCCAGAGAAAAACTATAAAAAATAAATAAAAACTTGAGAAAACCTGAGGAAGAATTTATCAAAGTCTACTTCAAGACCGGCTGCTTGGAAACTTCCGCCTTTACCCGCTTCTTCCATTCCAGGTTGTGAGAGTTTCTGGTACCCGTGTCCAACAGTTGCAAGTCCATCACAGGGACACAGAGACAAACAACAGTTCACATTCTCACTTAGGAACAGTTTAGAGTTACCAGTCAGCGTAACATAAGAGCAAGGTGGCGCCGGTGTGCATGTCTTGCCATCTGCCTCTGCCAGCTGTGCTTGTGTTCTTTCTGCTTTTATCACTTCTCATCTGTGACATCGACTCGTTACTGGTGTATGAAGTCATTTACCTTTAGATCTTCCATTATGTGCCACCAAGCTCGCCTATTTCGACCGCAATGAACAGAGCTGGGCGTCCTCCTCTCCTGGTGGACGTACCTGTGGGCCTGCCCGGAGACAACGCCTCAGGCACCGAGGAACATGCTCTGGGAGGCTGGTGAAGCTTAAAGCCTGCCTTGCACTTTCTGCTACGACCTCTCCAGCTGATCAACTGGTCCATCCCCTGTCCTGGTGCTTTGTGGATCCCGTCATGCCTTGTCTGGTTCCATTGGTGGGGTCCAGTTCTCACAGGGGGCCATTCTTCATCGTTTTTCTGGTCTTTGGAGTTACGGAGACTCTTAGTTGGAGTTACGGGACAAACTCTAAATGTGAGATTGCTGCATGTCTTGGGCTCCTCGGTCATCTTCTCCCCAAGCAGTGATTCCTACAAGTATGGCCTTGCTAAACGCCAGATCCCTGATGAATAAAACCTTTATCTTAAATGACGGTTTCCGTTCCAGCGGATTGGACTTTTTCTTTGTGACAGGCTTGGCTGCACGCTGTTGAGTTTAGAGACTTTTTGGAACGTTTACCTTTTAATTGCTCTTTTTTTAACGCTCCAAGGACATCTGGTAGAGGTGGAGGAACATTGACTGATTTTAAGAAACATTTTAAATGCTAACAGCTCCTGCCACCAGCTCTTTATTCCAGCTTTGAACTGCTTGTTTTTGAGCCGGGTCGCTCCCCGCCGGTGCTGTGGACCCTGATCTACAGACCACCGAAGTACAACAAAGATTTTATGAATGAATTCTCGGACTTTTTAGCAGGAATGTAGCTCAAATATGACTGGGTTTTAATTGTCAGGGGTTTACTGTTTGTTGTTGTTGTTTTTTTTAATCTTATTCAGTCTTTTAACTTTGTGCAATGTGCATTGGGTCCCACTTATCAACAAGGTCATACACTTGATTGAGTTTTATCTTATGGCTTATCCGTTTTTAGTTTAGAAATTGGAGATGCTGATTTTTTCAGATTATAGACCTATTTTATTTGACACCTCTCTTGCCTTTGAGTCTAAATCTCCTGCTCCGGCCAGGCTTTGTCAGATATACCTCTTCCACTGCTGCTCTCTTCTCGTCTGGTTTTACCAGTAACCGTTACTGATTCTGGACCCTCTGTGTCTTACTATGCATGAGCTGCTCTCTCAGTATCAGGAGTCTAGTGTTAAGAACCTGAATCTAGTGAGCCCCTTAAAAATCAGATACCCCAAGCTCACACCTCAGCCTTGGTTAAATGAGACTACCTGAGCATCCAGACGTCAGTGCAGGAAAACTGAGCGCAAACAGAAGAAGGACAAACTACAGGTTTATTTTATTATGTGTTGGAGAAATTCTCTCCCACATTCTCTCTCTAAACATTCCTTACCTAAAAGAACCACACTCGATTGCAGGAGAAGATTTTTAACCGGTATTTATACTTGCAAGGTCAGATTTCAGGAGAGCTTACGTAAATATACATATATCACATACATAGATATATACGCATGAAAAGCAGTCACAGAAAAAAGCCATGAGCCACGTTATCTGCTACTACTTTAAGGACATCTGTCTTACGATTCCTTTTTAACCAAGAAACACATGATAATCTTTGTGACACAGTATGTGACCCTGGTACTCATGTGAGGAGATGACACAAACGTTTCCAGGCTTTTTGGACACTTGTGAATGCCATTCTCAATCAGGTGCATCATAGTGAGCTACTGGCTTTAATCATCAGTGTGCTCAGTTTTAAACCCCGACACATGCAGACTCGTACAGTTGCGCAGGTTTCTTAGGTCGCTGTGCCTCAGGAAATAAAGTTGCTTTACTTCTAGTGATAATGTTTACAGTCCAAAGCCCTTCTTTAAGTTATGCTATGCTTTCCGTAAAGTATGGAATTTCAAAATATAAATTGTGTAGGTGCATGTTTCCTGCCATGGTCATTTGCACTTCACTGACTCTTCTTGTGTTCCTTCTTCCTGCAGGTATTGACCTGATTGCAGCTTTCTACGGCTGCTTGTACGCCGGCTGTGTCCCCATCACGGTCCGACCACCTCACCCTCAGAACATATCCACCACCCTGCCCACGGTCAAGATGATTGTTGAGGTCAGGCTCTGATTTGGTCTCACACTGTTTCTGTTTGAGACTAATTACACCTCCTCGCGTTTCTGTTTTAGTCGGACAGCCTTGAGTCAAACATGTTGTGTACTACCAGCTAGTTCATGTTGGATGTGTAATTTGTGCTTTATAACTTTATGTGGACTAGAAAGTTACGCATGAATTTCTGCTTCCATTTTGTATACTATGTCTCGGCAGGTCAGCCACTCAGCTTGTGTGATGACCACAGCAGTCATCTGTAAGCTGCTGCGCTCCAAGGAGGCCATGGCCACTGTGGACATAAGGAACTGGCCTCCAGTCCTGGACACTGGTACTGTTGGGAAGCAATAATGTTGACTTTCAGTCTTTTTTGTTCATGGCCATTAAATCATTAGATGGAATTTCATTTTTATTGTCATTCTGATTAGATTTCAGTTCTGACATTTTTACTTAAATAACTCCACATGAGCTTTTCTATACGTAGAAAGAGACATTTAGTTTTCTGTCCCACTGAATGTTTTAACTCATCTTGTCCTCCATTGCTTGTACTCGACTGACGTCCAGTCAGTTTACCAGACAAGTCTGTCCTTTGGTTTCCACATCATCAGTCTTTTTTGTCTCAAATGTTTGTTTTATTGCAAAATGTGCCATGTTTTCTGTTATTTTTCCATTGATTAAAAAGTCCAGGAGTATTAAATGTAGTTAAGTGTTTGTAAGATGTTTGTGGGGGAAAACACTATAAGAGGACTGCCGGAGCGCTTTTCTTTCCTTAAGAGCTGCTCATGTTAATTAGTGTTGTCGGGGATGTTTTATAACCACAGAATGTGGTTCTTCTTTTTACGTTATTTGTAAAATCACTGACTCCTGGTAAATGTGCAGTCCAAACAAGTCCCTACCTCTAAATGATTGTTCTTTCTGATAAGAAGAGATAACAGAGAACCAAGCAGATGTTGCCTGCTACTCTGGCTAACAGGCAAAATGAAAATACTTTGTTGTATTTTACAAATTTCAACAAAAAAAGAAAAAAATCTAGAGAAAACACAATATATAGAATAATATTATTGTCTATATCTCTTGTTGTCAGCACTTTTCCAAACAGGAAAAAACATGTATTTTGCAATATTGTCTTTTGCAAAATTTTGATGCTAAATTCTGAAATCTTAAAGTAGCTGTGAATGATCTCAGGTGGGACGCAGGTCAGCACCTTCGTTTATTGTATTTCCACTGTTAAAACTCAGATATTCAGGTCCTGAAACTGAAGATTATATTATGAAGCTACTGAACAGAAACAGTTGCAGTACGACTGTGTGTCTGGTACTGAAAGTGATTAAAGGTCCGTGTGTGTTCGTGGTGACGTTCACAACGTGAGCCGTTGATCTTTAATACTTTAGGATCGTAGCAGATCTCTGTGGCACAGTGCAATAAACTGTTCCTGGTACTGGATTCACACAAACCTCTGGGGCAGCAGAATACCTGTGTGTTGGTTTGGATCTTTTCATGTGTTGACAGTGAACAGAATTTGCAGGCGTGTGAACTGGTTTCAAATAGAAAGTGGAGCATCAGCTGTGCTCTGTGGTTCAGACTGAGGTCAGGCGTTCCTAACTCTTAAAGTGTTTAATAAATAAATATGTGTTTGTCCTCCAGATGACCTGCCCAAGAAGAAGCCTCCAGCGCTGTTTAAGCCCACCAACCCCGACGGCTTGGCCTACCTGGACTTCAGCGTGTCCACGACCGGCATGCTGGCTGGAGTTCAGGTCTGTTCAATCCCGGCCTCCTAACAGAACCGTTCCTTGGCCACACTGTCCTCTTCCTTTACTCTTGACTTCTATTCAGAAGAAACACACAAACCAGCTCTTATTTCTTACAAATTAGTCTAAATGTGTAGACATGTCTGGTTTGACTTTTTTGTCTCTGTGTTGTCTGCTTCTCCATCCTGTCCACTCTTCAGATGTCCCATAATGCAGTTGGAGCCTTCTGTCGCTCGGTGAAGCTGCAGTGTGAGCTGTACCCGTCCAGAGAGGTGGCCATCTGTCTGGATCCGTACTGCGGCCTCGGCTTTGTGCTCTGGTGCCTCTGCAGGTGGTTGCAGCGCCGATATT